ACCCAATTCAACAACGAAATTATGGTTATTGTGCCGAAATCTTGGCGTCCTGGTGTTGGGCGGCTATCTCATTACTGAACGACAGCGGGTCATAGAGACGATTCTGGTCGAGTGGGGCGGAGGCGGGTTCGATATCTAGACCATCATTCTTGGTATCTATTCGACCAGCACTCTACAAAATGAGACGGGGCCGGGGGCGCCAGTTCCATCAATTTCCCACTTCCCCGAAGGGTTAGGGTGCGTTCGGTTCGCCAATAATGGACTTATTTCGCCATTATTGACCCCATCCACGATTATTTTTTGAATAAGCGCTCATCGTGATAATTGGTAGCGTTCGGTAGGATTTTCTGAAATGAGCGCTCATTCCGTCGTTATTCAAGAATTGGGGTCTGGGCCATTCCGGATCCATTCTCCCATGGTATTCGGACTATCCGAAACAAAGCCACGCTGATTAGGCCTGAAAAAAGGCAGTCTCTGGCAGCCACGCATTTGTCAGACGTCGACTCACTCTTCATTTGTCACCATGCATGGTAGCACGTCGTCTAGGGCAGAGGCCATGGCGGCATTCATTCCTGTACTCATCGAGTTCCTCCATGAACCAGATCCCATCCCGTGTCGGACTTCTATCCTGACAGGGGCCATGTACTATCTAGAGCTACTCGAGTCTCGTATTGAGGTGCGCCTTGCCCAGGTAGCGCGCATGCCGCGAGACACTTTTCTTGAGCTTCAGAGGGTCGGCGACGACCCATCGAGGCGCGCGCCTCATCGCTACAGGAGCGTAGGTGGTTGTGGAATGCCAGGATCGTGCGGCGGCGTCGGGGCGCTGGCAGTACGACCGGAACAACGCACAATGCAGCCAAGGAAATGCGAGACGGCTTTGCCTTCGCTATGTGGACGCGGTATCTAGACTACATCTCGCGTAACGGCTATCCTGAGATCCGAGTACTTGATGAGATGACGTTCAATCGCATTGCTCGCGTTATATGACGCCTGGAAGTTGCGAGTCTGTACAGAACGCATCTACAGGTCTGGGGCGCCGTCGCCGTTGTTGCCGTCGTTGGCGCGCCACTTGTCGGAGGTGTCGCGGCGGGCGGCTCCGTTGACGAGTCTGCCGGTTCGGGCGCGTCACTGCAGGCGTCGACGTCGGTCGCTTCGTCGCCAGTGATGGACATGATACCTGTCGCGTCCGACAGCTCGACGTAGAGGTCGAAGGGCTCGTGGCGGAGCTTGGCGGCCGCCGAGTTCGTGAGGAGGTAGCTCTTCCAGACGTCGTCGTCGGCGACGATCGTCTTCATAGTATCGTTCAACCCGAAGCCGCTAAGCTTCAACACCGTGGGGCAACGAGTGCTACGAGATACTCTCGCTTGGCGTCGGTCGAGGCGGCACGGTCGCGCATGGATGCGTCGAGAAGATGTATGCCACGTGTCTATATTATTTCACGCCTGCCCGCCAGTCGTTTGGCCGTGAGTCACTCTGCTTCCGTCCAGGACCGAGTCCTTGATGAGCTTGGGAATAATTGCCCTGCGAACCGAACGCGTTTTCGTCAATAATGGACCTGCAAACCCAATTCTTATTTTCGCATTTTTAATAATGGCCATTTCGATAATCGCTTAAAAAATAATGGCCGCGAACCGAACGCACCCTTAGAGACGTCCTTCCAATACAGTACCCCTAGTAGTCCTTTAATGCAGCTCCCTCCAGATAACGTTTTCTCGGCCATGCATTAGTAACGAGATATTCGAGCTGACACTACGATCTCGCCTCTTCAACACCTGGTCCGCACTTTCGCACAACACAATCCCATGCAACGCAGAAACACACAAGACGTTTACAGCCGCAAGGACTAAGTCCACCAACGCAGACGATTAAGGTTGCCCACACTTGGTGGGTGTTTTTAGACACGCAAAATGTTCCAGCACTGGTTCTTGTTGTACTCCGTGCAGTCCCAGACCTGCACCTTGTGGCCGCTGTCGGTCGGGTCGGCATCGAGGCACAAGTTGGCGTGCGTCGCGTGCTTGACCAGCTTGTCTTGGAGCACCCACTTTTGGTTCGCGTTCGTCGCATCGCACGCGTAAGTGTGGAGACCGAACTTGCCGTTGCCGGTCGAGAAGGCGTCGAGGCACTGGCCGTTGCTGCCGACTTGCAGCGTCTGCGCGACGGGGTCGTACGCAAACTTTTCGTTGGCGTTGTTGCGGAGCACGTCGGCGTAGAGGCCCGTGTCGTACTCGGAGAGCCACGAGTTGGTGTAGCACGTCTGGAGGTGGATGCTCACGCTCGACGGGCTCTTGCAGTCGCTAAAGTACTGAAGGAGGTTCTGGCTGC